TTAACCGCAAGTAATTTCGAGGGATTTCCTTATAGCCGTTGGAATCAGAGTACAGCTCCATAATTTATAGCCTTAACTAACTTGAATAGAAAATAATATGATATATGCAACAGATATATTCAAAGTATTGAAATTTAAAATAAATAGAAAGTTTATCATATGAATACATCATTATTTTTGTAAATGTAATAAAAATGCACTTGAAAAAGGGGGAAAAATAAATATATTTTTGCTGTTTCTTGTATTATAATTAAACATTAATATTTTTGAATTTCAGATAGAGAATGTATAAAAATTAATTTGAAAAAAAAACGATTTTAAAGCGAGTTTTACAAACAAACTTCTAGTTTTTAGAACAATTTTCTTTTATTACGAAAAAAATAGAAGAAAAAAATATTATTGTTATTGAAATGTTCCTAAATTGTTGTCCTTACTAAATTAAAAAGGCTTTCTAATTTATATATATATTAATATATATATCTATTATAATTATAATATATTTCTAAACACAAGAAAAACTGTGCAGTTTGCAGTGCAATTTTCGCTTTAGGCCGATTTTTCTCTAGAGTAATTAAAAAACAACAATCACAATATACATATCATTAATTAAGGTATCAGTAATAAATTATGTAAGCCACCCGAAAGACGAGTGAAAACTATTTATATCCCTCAGACTATATTAAGAGCAGCACCATTTTTTCAAAGTGTATTTCATGGCTGCAAAACCCACCCCTGAAACGCATGGCATTTGTTGCTGGGTCGTTTTTGTAAAAAGGTCGTTTTCCCCCCCTGCCACATCCCCTGTCGCCCAGCGATGTCATTGATGGCTGCCGAGGCAGCAGCGGCCATGCCTGCGCTCTGGCAACGATGTGCCGTCGGTATTCCAAATGGCCAAACGATAGATAGATACACAACCAGCAGTTGTACAACGCATGCGACCATCTCTGTCTAGGGCGTGGCACTTGGGGACGCAGCAATGGGAGTCGGAGTCGGAGTCGGAGTATATGGTATATGAAGTCTGTGTGTTGGGGCGACGATTGATGCTGGATTTCAGAGTATCATTCAAAGATCTTTGTAATTCTGTAAGAATCCAGCATTGATTTGGTCGCCTTTGCCTTGCTCTAGAGACTGCAAGTAGAAAGTTGAGCGCAGGCAAATTGCCGAATGATGTAAAGCAGAGGGGTATTTGAGGCGCATTTGACTATTTTGTTGTAATGCGTGTCCCGGCGTAATTTACGAGCAGCCCGCCGTATGTTGCGCTGCGGAGGTGCACGCTCAGATTTATGGGCGCATCATAAAACAATTAACAAGCCCAAACTCGTGCCACATAAGTCGCTGCATTCATTTTTATTTATATTTTTTTTTTGTTCTTTTTACTTTGAGCCTTTTTTCTCTACTGCGGCTTGTGTTATATTTCACACCGTTTTATTATTACATCCAGTGGCAGAAGGGGATTTTTGGGCTGGCTGCGAGATTGCTACCAAATTGGCTTGTCAACTGTTCGTCTTCTGCTTCTACTTCTTCTCTTCTGGAGCTGGTGCTGTGGCTGGTGCTGGGGCTGGTTCTGGTTCTGGTTGTTTTTAATTAACCACACAAGATTTCTACTCATTTTCATATCGTAAACGTTTATCCAACTTAATAAGTCGTAAACGGCCCAACAGCGATGGTTTCTAACTAAGTTTCATTGCCCTGCCCCAACTGCTGCGTGCGTGTGGGATTTACTGATGTCGCAGGTGAAAGTGTCCACATGCGGCATGTGGATACATCTGCCTAACATATATGCATATGTAAATATGCATAAGTAAGACTTTGACATCCTGTTCTGCTCTGCCTCGTGCCCCGATTAAAAGACAACACCAGGAACAGCAATAATAAAACGGTAATTAAAATATAGAGGTCGACACCTGGTACATCCATCGAGTTGGTTCAGATGGTAGAAGATATGGAAACAACACTGTTCCAATATATACAAAATATACAAATTTAAAATTACAGTTAGAACAAAAATATATATTAAAAAATGAATGAATCTGCGGATATTAAAATGTACAATGATCAAACACTTATTGCCAATCAGACCAATAACAAAATACAATAAAAACATCTAAAACACAATAATTTCCATATTTTTGTTATCTATGAAATATTGATATTTATTAACACTTAGTCCCGATCCATCCAAAACTGAAAACTTATTCAACTTATTCTTAATTGCCTTGTTTTTTTGCAGAAACCTATAAACTCGTCTGGTTGCATTCTTTCTTTTGATCTTTGAAGTGTGAATTTAGCTTATCAAAAATGATTTCAACTCAATTATGCCAGAATTCCATTAAATATACGCAAGTATTCTGCATACTTTATTCATTTTGCATTCATTGAGCTGCATTAGTAAACAAACTGCTCTACTTGGGATATTATTGGAAAATACGAAAAGTAAAAACATATTTTTGTTTGTGTTCTAGGTTTCCCAAATCTAGCAATATGTGTTTAATCCCAAAATCCCATGTACATTTTTTATTATTATTTTAATTTTAAATTTTAATTTAATTAATCACTTTAAATTTGATTTCTCTTAATTTTTAATTGCAATTTCAAAATGTTATTTTTCGAATCTTTTCTAAAATCATAGTGCACATTAAGTAGAAAAAAATATAAAATTAAAAAATACTAACATAAATATAATTTTACAGAATAAATTAAACGTAATACTACACTTGAAAAATACGAATTCACTGAATTTTTATAGATATATTAGAGTGCAATATTATATGTAAATGGTTGGGTTGCTTTTACCACTGTGCAGCTGCTTTGTGTTCACTTAATTTTGTAATTCTTGAGCGCTCAGCTACAAAATATATTTTTAAAAACGAATCTGAGACCTTCTCTGCTGCTGCTGACACGGAGTCATTTGCCCGACAGGTGCTCGAGAAGCTTTTTGTTTCAGCGCCCGACAATATTCTTTTAATGACGGCGATTAACACAACGCCAGCGGTGCAGCCCTCCAGCTCCTGAAAGGGGCAAGTCGCCTGATTTAATTAAGTCGTCGCTGCTCTGCCATGCCAAGCCCCAGAGCAACCCATCCCGCCCATTCTGCCCATTCTGGCCGGAGGTAAGCATTTTTTGCTGAATCCATTGTTTGACTAATCTCTGCTTGTGCAGCGACCCCCTCCCCCAAATAACTGTGTGTGCCTCGTCAGCAGGAGAAACTTTGAGTGTGCTGAGCCCTTCGTTGCTGGGGTTGAGCACACACACAGACACAGACACACACAAACACACACACATGCAAAGTGTCATAAAGCTACCCACACATTTCTGGCAGATACTGTCAGCATGTTTGTTAATGCCATTTTGAAATTAACAAGTTTTTCAGATAAACTTTGAATTTAATTTCAGCGAACCTCGCTCCTCCCATTGCCAATGGTCACCTATGCTGTTTCCATTCCACTCCACTCCACTCCACTCCATATCCCCTATCATTTCCATAAATAACGCAAGTTATGCGACGTTCAGGTTCGTTTTCGTCGTTTGCGATATACATACATACATACATACATATATACATACATACATACATACATACATTGATTATTAAACAAACAAGAATGCTGGAGTCGAGTGAGCTCGACTTCGATATACCCTGAAACCAGCAGTTGAATATGGTTTAGTTTTTCATTTCAAGATCAATATGAGTAAAGGTTGAGTGTTTCTTATCCGATATTGATGAAATTTGTGCAGTTCAATAATATGTCAATGTATACCTAATATATATAAATTGAAAGGGTCTATCTCCAAAATTGTGGTCTTTATTGTTATCGAAATGTATCGAAATTCGCAAAACCGGAGCAGTTATAGACATAATTGATTGAGGTATACGAGAACTTATAATCCAAATTAGAATTCTCTTATCTCATATATCATCTCTATCTCATAGATAATGATGTTCAATATATATATATTATATGAGGTTGGAGATGCCTCCATCTGCCTGTTACATTCTTTTGCACAACACAAATATACCCTTTTTACACAATGCGTACTGAGTATAATAAGAAGCACCTTGTTCGCTTAACCCTTGGTGAGCAAGTTAAGTCGTCGAATCTGGAGAAAATGGTCAAATCGAGTGACTCTTTTTACGAAGATCGTCGCTTATATCGTTCTTTACATTTGGTTCGGTTCGGTTCGGTTGGGTTGGGTTTGTTGTGTTTTGTTGGTGTTTCGCTTGCGCTTCAAGTTAAAAGCCATTAAATTATTTATGAGCCCATTAAATCATCATTATTGTCTTGGCGACCTTGAGCCATTAGTTGGCCAGTGTTTAAGCGCTCCCATTTTGGGAGACATTCGCTTTCTTTCGCATTTCTTTTATTTCGAGTTTTATTGTTTGCCGCCTTTTAATGATGCGTTTTCCATTTAAGCCTTTAGATATATATTTTTCTTCTTTTTGTTTTTCTGTCTTGTTTTGTGATTTTTTCTCTCTTTTCCTTTTTGTTTTGTTAATTGGGTCAGCAATTTTGTGCCTTGACTCTGAGCACAACTCGAAGGTTAAGGTTAAAAGTATCATTGTTAACGAAGCGCTTTTGGCGCATATGAATGAAATAAGTCTTTACCTTAACTGCTTAACTACTTAAGAACTTGATATCTACTAAAAAGTTGTTAGTAGTTAGTGTAGCAATAAATCATAAATTCATTAAATTTGCCCGTGGTTCACATTTCAAATTACGAACTTTTCCACTTTAAAGTTTAACTTTATTTTGCACCTTACTCGAGAGTGCGAACTTTTAGAAAATGGTGACTCATGTCTCTGATGACTTTTTTTTCGCAGATCTCTGAAAATGAGTTAATGTTTTTTTGGTTGTAAAACAAATAGTGTGCATACAATAATCTATTTTAAACTCGCACTTATAGAGCTGCCAAAAAATGTTTATTTCGCATATAAAAGAATGATTATACTTTAAATCAAAATCCACTTAAATTTAAATTTAAAATAATTAATTAAGAATTACCTTGATCGAAGAATATGTACAAACTTTATTCAATTCTGTAAGAGTCTAGTCTGTCTGTAAAAATATAAGAAACTAATTTTTAGTTTTTATTAACTGAAGTCAATATTAGTTTTTCAGGAATTGTCTCTCAATTAATTTTCAAAGGTCAAATAAATTTATATATCTATATATATATATATACATATATTCAGATAATTTTCCTCTTAGCTTGAAAAATGGGCGGGAAACAGTTCTATGAGACCTTTTTGGGTTTGACTATATTCAAAGATCTAAATGAAAAATAAAAAAAACAAATATCGTAATCTTAGTTGCTTATGTATCGGAAAAGACACGCGAGCTGGAATACCTACTGCAGATATTGAATTACTTTGCATATTAATCAAATAAAGAAAAGGTTGCAACATCATCAAATAAAGTAAGTAAGGAAGATAACTATTACTTATTAGATTAGATGTCCCTTAAGGGACGTTGCCCACAACAGGTTAATTATTATAATTCTTTTTTCCAACAGAAAGTTTTTTCCTTATCATAATTAAAGCCAAATGAAATGAATTTTGTTCTGAATAAAATTGTGGTCCCAGCTCTTACCATAAAGAATTACATATAATTTCCCCGACTTGAAGGAAGACTTAATTAATAAGTTGGGCCAAGGCATGTTAAGCGATCTCAAGCATTTAATTTTCGTACCGATTGCGCTCTGCCCTCCCCTATGGACTGAGCCGGTTTGGTTAGCGGGAGTGGAGAGGGGGAGGGGGTCTTGTGCCTCGTTTGGTTTTAGTGCGACTCGATTTTTGCGAAATTTCTGGCTGATAAAGCAATGGCGACGGCAATGATGCGCACGAGTAAATTTCTTTTTCGGTTTCTTATGTTTTTCTTGGCTTGCCACGGCTTGTTTCCATTTGTCTTCGCTGTTGGTGTAAGTTTTCCATTTGGATAATGGAAAAAGGCCATTTCATGCCATTACTTGGCTATGGTCGCCGACCGGGGGCAATTTGAGGCGCACTATTGTAAGAGCGGCGACGTGGCTCTGGCAGTGGCAGTGGCAGTGGGCACGGCGCCATTGGAGCAGCCACCTCCTCCGACAGGGCTAGGACTACGGACTACGGACTACGGACTACTACCCACCACAGCTCCAATGGACACACAAATGTACTTGAAGATACGACTCTACTTGTATGTATCGCATGTGCTTGTTTTGTTGTTGGATATTTCTTGGCTTCGTGCTTAGGATTTGCTTTTAGCTTATTTCAACTTTTTACATTTGCAAAATGAATTGTAATGAAATGGAATGGGGCGTGTCAGCAGCGACTTGTGACGTGGCACGCCCCGACCTTAACCCCCAACCCCATCCCCACCCCCAACCACAACCACAACCCCAACCCCAACCCTATCCCCGAGCTGCCCTGAAGCCAGCAATGGCCACCGCCCGTTGAGCAAAAGCGACGGCAATAAAATCATATTCGCCGGGCGCCAGCCAGCTCTGAAATATAATTTTTGCACAAAAAGTCGTTTACAGTGTCTTTCTTTGTGCTGAAATGTAATGAATGAGATGGGGTTGGATTGGGGCCCTATTTGGAGCTGTTTTTATTGGTGTTATTAGGTTGAGAGCACTGCAATGATGGGCGACTTCTGAAGTCGCCGGATGTGGGACAGTTAATGCCCTAATGGGTTTCAGGTCAGCAATCTCCTAATGCGAATCACTGAATCACAGCAACAGTCAATAATATGCAATTGACACAGGATCGTTTCTAGCCTCAGTTGGGCAGTCCACACGGGAGTTCATTAGGGAATTAAGCCCTGTTGCACATGTGTTTTGGTTCTTATGATTTCCATAATATATGGTAAAAAGACATTTCGCTGTCATTCGAGGCACGCTAACTGAATGTTTAAATCAATGCAAGTTTATTGCTCAAATCAAGTTTTTTTTCTGGACTGAACTTCATATAAGGCATTGACTGTGGAACAGTTGACAGTAAGTCTGAACCCTAACGAAGAGCGAATAATAAATTGCAAATAAAAAAAATCGCATTTTTTATAGTAAAGTTTATCTACCTACAAAAAAAATAAAGTGGAATAAATGTAGGTTGCTAAAATAATATATGAAATCAACAAAAATAAAGAAATGTTCAATTAGAAATTTAAAAGTTACATTAATCTCCAAAAAACTGTTTAATTTTCAATTTTTTAGTACGATTAATTCATGAGGTATTTAATTAACAGTATATTTTTGCTTCAATATTACTCAAGGGTTATTTACATTTATATATAAAAATATAAGAACACATCAAATGTGAAAACATGGATTATCTAGTTGACTTATTATACAATTTTTGTTCACTCGACTGTGACTATTTTAAATTATATATATACTGTTTAATAATATATTAAAATTCATATAAAAAAATCGAACAATTAGATTTTTTTTTTTTTTGTTTGAGTCAACTATTACCCTAATTCCATTGCCTACATTTCTTACATCAACAACATTCCACATAAATTCAACATTCGTAAATATTTCAAGACAGGAAAGCGTTAATATAAATTCCACTAATAATATATTTTTTGTTATAATTTATTATCGTTTAATGCTGAAAGCTAAATATAAATGAAAACGTTTCCCAAGTTTTAAATTTGTTGATTATTTATGGGGTTATTAGCAGAAGACTTATAATGCCCTGTCTTATATTTGAAAAAGACAATTTAAAAAAAAAAACATATGTTTTATTTAAATAAAGTGTTAATCTAGCCACTATCCCATTAGCGACAACGAACAATATAATCACGAAATTTAAAGAATGTTGTGCTCAACGAATCCGACTAAAAGAATATTTTTATTATTATTTTAGTTATTTATTATTTATTTTTATTATTATTATTTATTGATACAAGCTTAAACTTATTATTTAGCGCACCAGTTATTAGTAAAAATCAATTGTTCACTAGTTAAATATTACATTATATTATATTAAATATTAAATTAATAATATAACGAGTTAAGTATTACATTATATTATAATAATACAACGACTTTAAAAGTTGATGATTAGAATTTATTTTTAGCCATTTTCCTATGTTATACTTAATGAGAGATATGTTAAATGCAAATTTTGTTTGATTTAATTTAATTTTCATATAACATGTATATATATATTTTTATTTATTTATTCAATATTAAACACATTTGGTTTGGCCTGTGCATTTTCTTCTGATGTCTGAAACGTTTCCACTGCAGAAACGGCCTCCGAGCGTTAATTAAATGGTCATCACATCTTTATTAACGAAACGAATTCGGAGGAGAAACGCATATGCATAATGACTACATTTGTCACTTGTCTGCAAAAGGGCTGATCGAAATACGTATTGAAATATTTCTCTGATCAAAATCAGATGTACATTTTTTATTCATGGTTCAACAGTGTGTTGCAATGCAATCAAATGTCACAAAATGTTAAGCGTAAAGTTAGTTAGCACTTTTATTTATGATTTCCTCTTGACAATTTTGACAGCCGCAATGATGACGGTTTATCCTTCTGCCCCCGGCCGCCGTGTTGCGTGTGTGGCAGCTGCCACATGCACTTGAACAATCGGATATCAATTGTGGCCATTTGTCAAAGACATAAACATGGCGTATTTAGTTATGATAAGTACACATTTTCCATTTTCCATTTTCCATTTTCGATTTTCGATTTACAAATTTCAATTAGCCCAGCTTTTCAATTGGTATACGAAATAATCTCCCTGGGACCGCCAAGTGCAGCACTTAAAACTCGGAGGCATTCTCATTTGTAATCTGTTGGGTTTTTGTATTTCTATTCTGAGCTCGTAGCCAATTCAAATTTATTGTATACTTGAGTTTTTTGGGCAGAGACTAACGTCTCATTCAGGGATTGTATTTTATTTCGCAGTCTTCCTGTTTTATTCAACAACTGACAGCTCGCTTCATTATATACATATGCAGACACACAGATATGTACATATAAGCATTATTAAACGTGTTCACATCGAAAATACATATTTCTATCATTTTAACTTAATAGTTCGGAACACGTGTTCGCTTTGTTTAAGTCTATACAAGTTTTTTTTCTAATGTGTGCCATAAATCAAATTAGTGAACATGCAGGCGGGCATAATTAATTCAAGAAATGGCTTTCAATAAATTATGTCAAGTTGAGGGAAATGCTAATTAGATACTCGCTCTCCTAATGTCCACTTGATTGGACCACAATTCGGACTGTCTTCCTATTTATATTGGCTCTTCCAATTGCGATTCCAATTCAGAATACTTCGATATGTTTCGGAATGCCAACATATTAAATGGCTCTGCTCAGAATCCTATGGACGACGTTGTCGTTGGCGTAACCAGCACCAACACACTCGAAGCAGATCCACTAACACTAAGACATTTCAGCATGTTTGCTTGTGTTGGTGACTTGAAGAGTGTGCGAAAGAGAGCAGCGAGCAGAGAGAGAGAGCGACAGCTGAGCGCATTTCAACTTGGTCTTGTACTGGTTCGATAGACAGCGCCATCTACAACTCGTCGAGTGCAGATAGCGTGCATAGCTTACAACACCAGAGGTCGCCTCAAGCAGGGAGGTGTGTGAACTGGCTGATTCTGTGCTCAGCTCTGCCAAGACATAGAAAATGTTAGTCTTGTATTATGTTAAGAAATCATTCCAAATTGTACAATAGATCTAAGATCATACAAAGAAACCATTACACACATATAATTGCTCGCAATTAAGCTTTTGTTTGATTAACTTTTCTGTTGTCCAGAATTTATTAACCAAATTGTGTTTAAATCAATTTTTAAATGATATCATATACACTGTCCGCATATTCAAGAACATTTTTTAGATATAAAAGACATATTTATTTATATAATTCGACATATATCCTATAAATACATCTGCATAGGATATATGTCGAATTTTAAATTATATTCCTCATTGGTAATTATTTTAGGCTTAGATAATAAATATATTTCCACATACATAATTGATAGAAAATTATGCTATAGTTTGAAAAACTTATTTGCAGTGCAGAATGCACAAAAT